AATATCTAGTTCGTGAATATGTCGAAATGCGAAAAATTGGTTCTAGTCGTGGACAGGTAAGTCGTAATTCTACATGTACATTTCTACATTTACATTACATTATATTTCAGGATTGAATAATTTGTCACTGTTTATTCAATCTCATCCCAAGAATAGCTGGATAGTTTATCAGAATAGGCAACCAAGCATCGGCAAATCTTGATATGTCTGAGACTAGTAATCGGGGATTATTTGCTTGCATGCCGATTTGAAATCATCACTCGTTTCTCTACCATTTGGTTAAAAGCTTGCACAATTGTACTGATTTTGTGACGAAACGGTAGTTTTTAACTAATTCTCTACCCCTTCGTTTTTTCCTCTGCTTGACAGACAGTGACGCGTATGAGACATCGTAGTAGATTAGAATTATGTTTACTTTTATGAAACCATCTCTATTTCGCATGTTTTCTACGTTATTATTTTTGATGTTATTGGTAAACATTTCATGTCAATTCCACTAGATTGCGCACTCTTTTTTTTGTTTGCCTTGTTATTCATTACCTTCTAGATTTCAGCATATCCGCGTCAGCTGGAGTCTTTGATACGTTTAGCTGAGGCTCATGCTCGAATGCGTTTGTCCCATTTCGTTAACGCTGATGACTGTCGTGAAGCTCGACGTCTGCAGCGCGAGGCTATCAAGCAGGCCGCCATCGACCCTGTTACTGGGACCATCGATATTAACATTCTCACTACTGGTGCGCCCTTGCTCCCTATTTTCTATCTTGGACGGTTGTGAGGCTACTTTGGCCTTATTCAATATCATAAGCGTTGATGATAGAAAAATAATGCAGTTATTACCCTTTCCCCTCGCAGAAGTTGTTCAAACACCGTATCGGTATTGACTAAATAGACTCTGGAAGTTTGGCAGCGCACATTTGTTGCAATGTTTTTAATCTATTTGGTATTTTTTGATGTCTATATTTTCGGATTCTGTAGAATTGTCAATAATCGTCAACAGATACTTAACGTTACTGCCCAAAAGACCATGAGTTATCCTATCCACAATAAAGAATTAGGCGTACATTATTGTAGTTTTGGGGATACATTGGCTAATGTTGTGTTTGATGATGAGCCGGCAGTCTTGGCGTGAAAGTCCTTGTAAGTGCGAGATTAAATATGTATGAAACCTCTAGAAGCCACGGCTTCGGAGGTGTGATTCACTCCTGTCTCTAATCTTTAACTGGTGGTTGGAATGTTGCTTTGATCCCGTCAGGTCTGGTGTGCTCACAGGGCCAAAAGGCGGCGACGGTTCCTTGGGTAATGTCGTTTTACTAGTTCGCGTTGTCTCTGACTGACTGTGGTCGTTGAATCTTCACATTCGTAGTTCTATTTTCTTTAGTTTTCCGATATTTGTCTATATTTACCTTTTCTCAGTCATTTTCAACAATTGTAAAGTTCGTCCGTAAGAAATACGAATAATGCTACCTCACTCATTAGCCTACTACACACTTAGCTGTTTGGTAACTTTTTCGGACCTTCGTTACGTCTCAAATTACGAATAGCTCTACCATTGTAAATTGCAAAGGTTCTCGAAATTATGTCTAACTTGCACTTTCGAAGCAGTCTCAGTTTTTTTTTCCAGTTTGTAATTTCTTTTGCCTAAATTATCCTGCTGCCAACGGTTTGAAATTGTTGCCGTTTCCTCTCACCTAGC